TTCTTCTAAATGTTCTTTGAATAGGGGGAACACAAAAGCAGTTTGAAGGAGCACCATCAGAGTATAGGGTAGATGGAGTAAACTTTGCCAATGAAATTCACATTATGTAGCCCCGGCTACCCCCAAAGAATCAGCATTTGCATCATTGGGATAAAACACAGTCCCTGAGCACAATTTCCCTGCTTTTGTTCTCACCTGTACAGTTGTCAATTACCTTAAAACTTCTTCCTGCTAAGTTCCTGTGATCACCTTACGTCCTTGGAGAAAATCCATTGTGATGACATCATTGGAAACCCCCCCCCCAAAAAAAACCCTATCACCATAAACTTCTGAGCTCACTTCCCTGCCTTGAAATAAACAGATTCAGCAATGAGACTAAGACAAGTGTATTATGGGGGAAAGGGTAGTATTTGTCTACAGCCCATCTGCTGATGGGTTTCTATGATTAAATATCAACATGTTTAAATATGTTTTATTTGGAATAAGCCCATAAATGAATAAACTGGAACCCTAGTACTATGCTGTGTAACTTACTCTCTTAGACACTTATTAAGGTATTTCTTTATGAATAAATTGATCATATTCTCATGATTTATAAGCAAGAGAGGGAGAAGTTGAATTAAAGTTAAAAGTGATCTCTCTGATTCTACGCACCCTTAATTTCTGAAGTCAATCTTTTCCATATGTTTGCTGTTGCTACACTAATGATATCAGATGCCTTTAGTGAGAAGGGAATGTTTGCCACAATTGGGAAGCGAATATTTTATTTTGGACAGAAACCAAAGACCATGTTTCAAAGCTAAATTAAAACTGTGGTATATTTTTAGCAGTAGATTGTTTTTCTGTTGTTCTTAGATAAGTCCTAAGAGGCTGACACTCGAAGCTTATACAAAAATATGGACTCTGTTTCCTCTAGAGAGATTTTTATATTACGACAAGTTTTCCTATTTCTCATCGCTTTGCTTCAGTAATATGCCCCATTTATTTGTCTCTGTGATTGCACTTTTTCCTTTAGAATCATAAACTCCTAGAGGGAGTTTCTATCCTTAGTATCATATCTTATGAGAAGCTCAGATAGATATTAAATAATACATCCTGCCGAGGGTAGATTTTTTTTGTGCACAATTAAAGCAAAAGCAAGATATCTACTCAATTGATTTGGTAACAAACCGTTATTATAATTTATTTTTTCCATTTTTATTTTATGTTTTGTAAATCATTTTATTGGGGGCTTGTACAATTCTTATCACA